TGTCTGCCTCACATAAGAATTTTTAAGAAACACCAAAATACTAAGGGCAATAAAACTATTCCATAAAAGATAGAACAATCAAAATTCAGTTTTAAACTCAAAGAAAAAAATTTTAAACTCTGTGCTAGCTGAAGATCTACATTTTAAAGGCATTGTTCCAATGGTTTGTTAAGTGTGTGTGTAATAATAATAGTAGAAATAATAGCTATTATAACTGTTATAATAAGAGAATAATAGGAATAAGGGCTTATGGTTTATGGAACCACATACTTTATCTTCTTTGACTGCTTCTTTAAAGATAGGATCTTATATGATAGAAAATTAAGTTACACAGATGGTAGGTTGTTTAAAGTCTCACAGAAAAGGGGTCCAGGATAAGAATCACAAAACAGATCTGCTATTCCTTTCCTACTATTCTATAGCAATTGGGATTTTTGAGATCAAGAAGACTATGAACTAGAAAGTTTATATTGCGATATTCTCTGGCTTTTATAGAAATGAAAGTTCAAAAGCAAAAATCCTTATCTACAATTTTAGCTGTTTAGACTAACTGTGTCTAAATAGAAATGTTGTAAACTTGACAAATGTATTGAAGTCAAAATGAAGCTTTTACTTCATTTTTATTTGCTATTCTCTCAGTGGTAACATTTCCATCCAGAAAAAGTAATTCATTTGCTTTTTAGTATAAAGAAAAGGAAAATGTAAGTAATCCACTTAAAAATTTTTAAATTGCCATTTTATAGTGAAGATTAATGTTCTTTGAAAGTTTTAGAAACAGCACTGTTTTTTCTTTCATAATTTAGCCCAGATGTTTAACACATAGGCTAACATAACTCCAAAATGAATGTTAGCAGAACAAATGAATGAACTTTCTGAACCAACTCACTCCCAGTTCCAATCCTGTATTCAATTGATCTATGTTTGTAAATTTTCTTTAGCTTGGAATAAATTCTAAATATGCAAAATGCAATTGAATCTGTGAGATTTGTTTAAGATTAAAAATTACTGTTGTTGAAATGTAAGATAAAACCCTGTACTAGAGTTTATATCCCTGACTTGACTTGTACTAAAACTTGAACCCACCCTACCCAGTGGACTGTGTTTAGGAATGCTGTAGCTGAAGTTCATCAGAAATGTGGTACCCAAAAGATTCGGGGGACTCCAAGCCCCAGTGCCCCTCAATGAAGCTCATGCAACCATTTCCTCTTTTCCCTTTAAGAACTCTCTCAGGGTATCTGATAAAGTACTTTAGCTTTCCATGATAACTTTCTTTAAAATTTTATAACTGTCCTTGAAAATTAAGATTCACAAGGAAACATTCTGTCCCTTAGGAAATGAAAGAACAAGGAAGTTCACAAGGTGACACAACTAATGGAAGAAAATTAATATCTTCAGACTTTGACCTGACTCTGTAATCAGACTATGCCCTCTTCATGACACATCTGAAGACCAATAAATCAAAATCTATTGGATTTTATAGGAAGAAAAGATGTATAACAATATTGGATTTATGTCACATAATTTTAGTTCATTGTTGTCATAAAGGGAGATTAAAATACTATTTCACCTGCATTTGGAGTGACAAATGTGTCAGTTTCAGAATTGTTAGATTGTATATTTGTAGCCACTATACATACAACATGAACTCACATACACACATATACTTACTTGGTGGCAGCCTCTGTATTCTTGTATATAGTATAAATACTTTATTATATATATAATAAAAGTATGTAGCTACTACTGATCAAAATATAAAGACATGTTTATTACATTTGCAAGCTTTTTTCACATACACTGCCATAATATTAATATTCTGCTGTCTTAATATAAGAAAGACTGACATGGTTGAAAAGAGGAACGATTTTGGAGGCATCCAGGTGTGAGTTTATGTACTAACTCTGCAACTAACAAGGTGTGTAGTCATGGGCATGTAGCATTTCCGCGGTTCACTTTCTTTGTGTATAGAGAACCTGAATGATACATTGTGAGAAGCAAATGAACTTGTGGATATAAAACATTCAGTGCTACATTTGGCACAAATAAATCCTCATTAAATGGACACCAGAAACATGATATTTTATTCCAACAATTATTTATTGAACATGTACAAGAACTATTCCTCAGTAATATACAAGTGTGTTTTCATGGCTTACTAAGTATGGAATGAAAAAAAAGAAAAAATACAGCTTGATTCCTCAGATCTCATTTTCTCAGTGTCAGCACTTCTGAAATTTTGGCAGATGAGTTTTTGGTGTGGGAAGCTTCTCTGTGAGTGTAGAGTGTTTAGCAGCTCCTTGCCACCAAGTATCAGACGCCCAAGGACATCACCTTCCTCCTGATTTGTGACAACCAAAATGTCGGCACACATTGCCAAATATCTCTTTTGGGGTTATCTGTACCTCTCCAGTTGAAAACTTCAGCCTTTGATCAAATTTTTGTAAAGAATATCCTTGGACTGCTAGTCCTAGGAGATTCTCACCGAATGATCTCAGGGTCAAATGAGATGAGAAAAGTTTAAAAATAACAGAAATAGTAATGGCTGATTTTTGGTTTAAAACATGTGGCAATGTGTTCGATTCAACCTTCATAAAAAACTTATAAGTTAGTTATGATCTTAAGCACACATCTTTTAGATGAGAAAATTGAGCCCCAAATAAATCAAGTACTTAACTAACATCATACAATTAGAAAGTGGCATGGCCAGGTTGCTTTACAAGCCATCTCTACAGCCTGTACAGTTATTAAACAGCACTGACCCTTGCATAGCCCACTGTAGGATTTTAAAAATCAAATTGGAATATTAAGGATCATTATTCTTAATTTGTGGTATTCATTAGGTATTAACTCTATCTCAGGCATTTACAAAATTACCTTGTGTCTTAATCAGTTGATGGTAACATCCTAGTTATTTGCTAAAGAATTGTTCTCATTAAACATCCTTCCATGCAAGTAGAGAAGCCACTTTCCCTGGAAAAATTAACAAAATAACACCAAGGCAAGTTCAGATGGTCAGGAACTGAGGAGAGAGGATACTCTGCTTGAAGGAATCAGAAAACATTTTAAAGCAGATATAATATTCGAATTAGAACTTTAATCTTCACATTAAACTTGGATAAATAAGTGTCTGCCAGGTGAAAAGGCATTCTAAACAGAATTAAAAGGATATACAAAGATCTGGAAAACTAGGAGGGCTGATATGCTTGGGGAATGGTGGGAGTCAAGAACAGGAGGTAGGAAAGTAAGTCTAGAGAGAAGGCAGGGTGTTTGCATTATTGTATCTGGCTTGACTCCTGTAGGCATTTAATTTTGTTACCTTTACTGTAAGGGCAGCAGGGCACAAGTGGCATAGTGGTGACATGGTTAGGTAGGTACTTGACAATGACTGAAATGAATAGTGTTCAGAGGTGGGGAGATACGACAGACACTAGTACAGTGCTTACTGCAAGAGATAATAAGTTAAGGTGGAACGATGGATAAGATATGAGAGCTGCTATTAATAAGAGAAGCAGGCAAGGAAAGTCTTCCTCTTAATAGGCTCTTAGAGCAAATAAGTAGAATTATTTATGGAAGATCTATCTCTACAAAAAAAGTAACCCACCCTCAAGGAAAGAATATAATAATAGGTCTGGCAGCTTTCTGGTAACCTAGAGAATTTGCAGATGCCGTAGATGACCTGGAAACCTGATTTCATCCCCCTTAAGATTTTCCATAGAAATTGAACATCCTAGTTGTTGGGTGAAGGTCCAAAAGTCCAAGGTAGAATCTGAATTGTACTCCTAAATTTTTAACCCAGACCACTTTGTCTATTTCCTTTGGATCAGATCATCTGGGAAAGGTGACTCAGAGAAGAGTCAGCCACATGTATTTGAAAGACATTGAGCCAGCTAAAAATGTCTTGAAGATATTAGGTCCAGATGCTCAAGAAGTAGTTGTTTAACTGATGAATTAATCAGATTTTGGATTCACTGTAATGACCTTTGATTTAAACATTTGAAATTTAAAGAGCCAATATACCCCTTCAAACCTTAATAGCAATTTCTCTATTTTATTCCTTATTGTAATAGCTAATGAGTCACTCAAAAAAATAGTCCAGCATAATACCAAATGGACTGTTATCTCTATGCATTATGCAATAGATTCTTACAGCCTTATTACTCAAATTCAAAATGAGCATATAGTACAACATATGTAACCTTTTTTTATTTTTTCCAAATATCTTCTTCAAACTTACCTTCATAAGTCATTCTCAGTACTGCAGTTTATTTAAAATGAACATTTCATTTCACAATTGATATCAGCTTTATAATCCTATCCCCAGAAGTTCTGAAGGAAAATATTTTATCTACCATATTTCAGTAATCAAACTTAGTAATAATATCTGATATTTCAAGTGTGATATTAGGATCCAGTGCCTTCAAATAAAAATGACCCTACTAAATAAATATTCTTTATCCATTTTTCAGATGGGCAGAAATGTTAAAGCAAAATAGATTTGCAGAGTACATTAAGTTATAGATGCTTAAAATTATGAATGCATATCATTACCAGTAACATATACCTTCCAACATGAAAGGTTGGGCCAAGGATAAGTATTTTGATCCCAAGATTTATAAAATATTTATAAAATATCTACTTAGAAAACTAGTTTTACAATATCTCAGGACTCAAGAAGTAACTACATATATAACTTACATTATATATAGCTACAGGAATATATAATGGTAAAAAATGTTTACTCATGAAATAGTTCTTATTAAACCAAGTATAAGGAGTCTTTATATGCAATAAGTACAGACAGACAAATTAAAAACTTATGAATAAATGTGATTGCCCTCTCTGCCCCAATTTGATCCATATCAGCAAGATAATTAATTCAGACCTATTTCACTTGTGATAGGGAACTTCTATCCCACGAGGAAAATTGATCATCCTGTCTACAGTGAAATAATTGATATTCTTAATATTCTAACACATTCTTTTTTATGTAAACATTTTAGGTATATCAATATATGCATGAAACGATAACTGTTAATGGCTGTCCTGAATTCCGTGCAAGGGCCACAGCAAAGGTAAGGCTTGAGTAACTTTAAAAAAATCCTTGGCCCTGGTGATCTAGTAATTGACTGTGCGCGTGTGTGTTGCAGGTATTCTCGTGTGTACACTGTAAGAGAATTTAGACATCAGTGGCAGCCCAGAGTCTAGAACCATTACTACTTCCCAGGTAAAAATCCTAATGGAAAATTGAACGTTTCTGCTGCTTCTGTAGCTTAAGAAAGGAGAATGATCTCATTAAAATCACTAAAAATCCATTTGGCACAAGCAAATCTACTGGTTCATTTTACAAAATACTACATGGTTTCCTGACACATTTCTCTAATCCAAAAAACCTATTTCCTTCTTGGGGCATGAAGATTTATTTTCCCAGGCCTGAAGACTTGATGTAATTTAGACATGAAAATATTTCACCTGACAACCCCTGATCTGGATTCTTCTGAGAATTTAGCAGTGGGTTACTTACTGAAAGAATGTGGCATTGACCTGCAGGGAAGGCCTGTCACCTTTTGTGGTAGTGACTGCTTTTCCTCTTTAAAAACTCAAATCCAGAGATTACAGAGACCCTACTAATGAAAATGATATAGCAGTAGGATCACAAAATTTTCTGGAAGATAGTCCATTAGGAAACAATAGTTTTCAACTAAAATCCCTGATGCAGTTCATATTCAAGAAATACAGAAATGTTATAATAGAAAACAAATTAATTTTTAAAAGCTTTTCTCTTTCTAATAATGTGTAAGAAGCAAGAACCAGTGAAAATAATCAGAAATTTCCATTTAATTCCATTGTGTTACATCACCTGCTGTTTGGTTTCTTTCTTGTTTTTTTTTTATGTTTTCATTCTGTAACTGAACAGTGTAGATTAGTAAGTTTTTATTTTTTTCTACCCAGGCAAAAAGAGTATTATTACCATCACATCATGCTTTGCTTGTACTGAAGTGGAACACACACAGAAAAATGATCCCTACATGGTTTAATTAAGGGGAAAGTGAATTATGTGATGTTTTACCATTCTCATTTCTTATTCATGTAGAACAGCAGGATAGCAGCATAATGTTGCAATAGCACAATATTTTCTGGTTGTTTCTGGGCTGTCTGCATTGCATCCATGTCAGCCATTAAAACTTATGCATGATGACAAGGTTTGCATGAGCAAATGCATGTAGCTAAAAACAAGCCATTATTTCCATATCATTCACTACCTTTCACTAAATGCAGGCAGTAGCATAATGCTAAATTGATGTGATAATGCTGTGTGTGGAAAAAGAATGTACAGTCCTTGGGAATCAATATTTTCACAGTGTTGAATAAGTCACTTTGTAGTAGGCATCTCATTAGCTGTGGTTAAGGCAGGTTATGGGAAGTGGAAAATAAGCAGGCAGAGACTTTTTTTGAGTGGAAACTACACAAATGCTATTATTTCTATGGTGGGTGGAGACTAATGGTAAGTTGTTTTCTTGTGCTTATTTCAAGAAATTAACATGAATTTTTAAATAAAATTATGTACATATTAAGTGATGTTTTTAAAATTTAGGTATAAAGCTATGGACTGGTCATTTTGCCTGTGTCCCTGAAGGAGTTTAAATACTAAGTAAAATAAAGGAGGAAAAAAAAAATCCTGCCAGATAAAAGGTTTCACATAGTAATATCAAATATTGGTATGAAATAGTAATGTCTTTGGATCTTTTGTTTCATTTTAGTTTCTATTTTAGTTTAGGCATTCTGGATTTGAAAAACAATTTTAATTTACATAATCCAAGGTCTGTCAATAGCAAAAGTAAATATGTACTCTCAAGAATACACAAGTGCTCTTCAGTTTATTGTTTACAAACACTTATGTGCAAGCCCCAAGTTAGATTGTGTGTCATACAAAAAAATACAAGACAAAAATCTGACCTTAAGGTGCCCATAGTCAACAAATGTACAAAATAATGATAGTACTAGGTAATATGTGTACCAAAACTATCTGGAGTTCAGAAATAGGATTTACATCTTAAGGGAGGTGACTGTGAAAGAATTCTACATGAAATGTTTACCATAGGGGTTGAGTTCTGGAAATAGCTGGGTGGGCCTTATAGAAAGGACTTATAGATGGCATCTAAATAAAGACAGCCTCCTACCTTTGTGTTCTTTGTTTCACAGGAGATGCTATAAAAATATCAGAAGTTGCTTCAGCTACCTCCTGCAAACCATATGATTAGTCTTATTTCCTTCATTTTATTACCAAAAGACCATCTTTTCTTTCAGGCAACAGTTGCAGCTTTTGCAGCTAGCGAAGGCCACTCCCACCCTCGTGTAGTCGAACTGCCAAAGACTGATGAAGGCCTTGGTTTTAATGTGATGGGAGGAAAAGAGCAAAATTCCCCAATTTATATCTCTCGCATCATTCCTGGAGGGGTGGCTGAAAGACACGGAGGACTCAAAAGAGGAGACCAGCTGCTCTCAGTGAATGGAGTGGTATGTGCCTAAAATAAATACAGATTCTGTCCCTAAGTACACCCCCGCCCAGCCCGCTATTACTGAAGGCAATGTTGAAATCCTATAACAGACCATAATTTTGCATCCAACTAGCTTCTTGAGTTTGATGGATACTGAATCTATAAAAGCATACATTTTATATTTTTATGTTTCATTTCATCTTGCTCAGGTATGATCAATACCAAGTAGTTGGAAAATCATCCAAGAAATTTTCCCAACTTATAGAATTACCCTTCCCCATAATACTGTAACTGAACTAATGTTTGGCTATCATAATAATTTCAAGTTGCTATAAGCAAAAACACACTTCTTGAAAGTAAAAGTCTTTATAGTGTGTACCTTTCATTTGAAGAAGGATAATTTTAATGTTTATATAATAACACATGAAAAAAGAAAACGCATTCACTCTTTTAAGCCATCTATGTAGCTAAAGTATAAAAAAAAGTATTAGCTTTTCTCCTAAAAATTTTGATTACATTACCTATTTATCACACGTCATACTATTCCAATGACATTAAAGTAAATTAAAATATATAACATTTTAAAGTAAAAATAGGAGAGTACATTTTTTTAAATTGGATGTCATTGTATATGAATAGAGGTAATGATGAGTTCTTAAACAAATAGATTCATATCCAATAGAATGAATATCTCTCCATATTTATGTCTCCATTAGACATAAAAAAACAAAAAGTATAATTTTTAGAAATAGAAACAAAAATACATCAATGTTTACCTAACCAGTAACCTAAGATCTTTCTCTAAGAACCTAAGATTTGCTGTGTGTGGTAGTGCCTGGCTGTAATCCCAGCACTCAGGAGGCAGAGGCAGGAGAACCACCATAAAATCAAGGCCAGCAGTTCAAGGCCAGCATGAACTATATAGTGAGACCCTGTCTCAAAATAAATAAATAGATAAATAAATAAAATCTAGTATATAAGCTATATTTGGGTTCTCTGTAGCTATATTGATTTCTGATTAGAACACAGTATCCAGACATGCATTTTGGATGTGATATTTAATTGGTAACTAGGGAGTAAAATTCTTCTACATTTACATTTTGAATTTTGTTTCTGTTTTTTTATTTTTAGTGTGTGAATAATAGTTTTATACTACTCAGAACTATTTGTTTAACTGTGCAGTTCTCTAATGAACATCAAAATTATCAGTCCATGAATATTTTATGCCATCTCAGCATTCCAAATCTAAAGTAACCATTTTATTTACTTTTTCCTATGTGGCAATGCTTTCAAAATAAGCTTTTTTATTGAATTTTCAATAACTATAACTTTTTCAAAGCATGTTTCAACTGATAATTCTAGAGCTGAACTTTCTGGTAGAGGGCTCTAGGCCAAGGTCACAAAAGTATGCCCAACAGTAATTAGGCCTCTGTATATGAATTTATTTCCCTGAATATATTGGAAAGGTCAAAAGAGGGTATAGGCTTAAAAGCAGTAGTATGCAAAGCAATAAAAAAAGCAAAATATATTAAATGCAATTTTTTTATTCATTAATTTTATTGGTACATTTTAGGCATACAGTATGATGATATTCATCATTGGGAATTTGTACCTTTACATGATATATCTTGGCTCTTATTTTTTCCCCATTCCCCTGCTCTCGCTTCAACCCCTCCACCCTTCCCTATTTACAAAGACTTAAAAAGAAGCAATAAATATACACATTTCAATTTAATAGGTGATTGAGTTTGAGGAGCTAAAGAACCTCTAACCCACACGTGCTGCAGGAAACACAGCTGTAGGCATTTCACAGTCACTCGTTCATTCCTGGGGATGACCTTGTGAGGACCCAGTGGGTGACAAGGGGGCACTGGAACAATAGAAGCAGACAGACAGAGTTCTGCCCCTCAATACCCATGTGATTATTGATTATTATCCCCTACACCTTAGTTTCCAATAGGAAAGGAGAACTATTAACTGATAATAAGGGCTCTGATGAAAATTACAGTGAGGCAAAATGTCTGTTAGGAGTTGTCCTGTGATCATCTGGTCCTACACAGCTCTGGTAGGGAAGGGTGGCTACTGAAGAAGTTTGAGGGGATGAGGTTAGCAGCCCCCGGAATCATGCTTTTGCTACTTACATAAAAGATACAGTATGTCTTACAGCAAATTCTACTACACATAGAGGTATATGATGGCAAACATTTATTAGCAGGAAGGTAGTAATCGACTCGTCTATAAAATTGATAAAAGCCCAGTTCTCTGCCCATACAAGTGTTTTAATCATAACATTGAAAAAAAGACTCAAAGAGTCAGATAGGACAACATGTCAAGGTCAGAATTTTGTTTCCTTTATATTCAGTCTCAAACAACTGGAAATCCTATTAAAATGACAGTAGGAAATGGAATGGTTTAGTGATCAAACTTTGATACCATCCTCCCCAAGCTAATTGTATGGTAAAGACTAAGGGACACCCTAAGATTTATGTGCTGTTAATGAAAGGTGGCCAACATCTCCAAAAGACTTTAATATCTCACATATATTTTAAACCTATAATTTTACCAATTAATTTCCATGTATAACATATTGTGCTAGTTAGTAGGCCACTAATTTCACCAAAGAAAATCAATTTCTGACATATTTTGCTAATATGCCAAGCATTGTTTATTCATTGAAATAAGTATAACAAATGGTCTTTAAGCAGTAATGACTAAAATGTTGCCTTTTTAATATAATGCTGACTGATCACACAACACTAGTTTATATTATATATAAGTATATATTATATATTATATAAATATATATTATAAACTACCTATTTCAAAGGTAGTTTAACAGTGCCTAATATTTATCAGGTATTCATTAAAAGATAGTTTTCTGAAATGAGAAAAGTCATGATCCAGTAACTTGTTCACAGTTACACAAACAGTCTGTTCAATTCTAGAACTTTCCATTTTTAACATCAAGTCCAAAGGTCTTTTCCATATAAATAATTCCAAGCAAGTATAAATATTTAATGAAAAAAAATTTTTAATTTTGGCTATGTAATAGAAGAACCAAAAAAAAGTTACAAATGATCAAATGATTTCTACCTTGAAAAAAAGGTACCACTTGGGGAGATTAATATGAAAGACTTTTTAGAATATGTCATTCTCAATTGAGAACAAAGTTTGGAAGGAAGCAATTTGAAGTACTGAGGAAAACCTTATTTTAGTATTAGAGCTCTGAGAACAATTCCCAAGTCTCCTACTTTAAGAATAAAATAATTATCCGTAAAGCTTTATAAACATCTGGAGAGATATCCCTAATGATGTCCTTGATTATTTTTATGTCTTGGCTGCATTGGGGAGGAATGTGTCATGATGTCTGGTAAAAAGTAACATTTTAATACAGAACTGTTAACATGGAAGGTTAGGTAATAAAGTGGGATGGAAAGGGGGAAATCAATAAACAGAAATAAATAAAAGATACAACAATTGAACAATTGATTTTTCTTTTACCTTCTTTTAAGTCAAAACAGAAAGAAACCCAAACCAGTCCAACCATAATTGGGAGAAATTTTTTCCCCTATTCCTGGGCTCCAAAATAAATTCCCCATGGGATTTTTATAAATAAGACTTTGAATCACCTGATGCAATTTTGTAGAAAATACCGAAGTCTTTTGTATATGGCTACTTCTTATGTCAGGCCACACCAAAAACTCATACTTGAATGCTGAATTAAAATTTAACATTAATAGGAGGTGAAAATGTTACAGTTAGAATTTATAGCTTTCTAATGATCTCCTTTTCACCCTTTTATGCTCAAGTGTTTTCTCAGCAATTTTAAGAAAAGAATCAAGGACTATTTTTAAAGATTACAGTCAATGTGGAGCCAGCAGGGACAGCAAATATATTAAGTGATACAGTCAGGATATTAGCAAAAAAACCCTCAACTGTGGTACAATAGGTCTAATTTAATAAGAACTTACATGAATTCTTGCTCCTATACCCAGAAAGCTAGCTGCATATGTGGAGCAGCAGAGAAGAATCACTAAATATCAAAGCTTGAAAAAAAAAAATCCTGGTGCTATCAGTTGACTTCAAGAGAATATAAGACAAAAGAACAGGGGGAGAGGCAACAAAACATGCTACTGTGATTGTAGGGACATTCATATAAGTATCTTCTATAGAGCAAGGAAAGAGATTGGTCCAGCTCTTGAGTGTGCTGTTTAGTCCACACCCTACTTGATTCTGATCCAATAAACAGACCCATAAAAGGAAAAACAGTCTTGTGTATGAGGAACATGTTAAAGAAAAACTTGAGTTTTTGAAAGTAAAGAAGAGACTATTTAGGGTGACAATGACTGTCTTCTCTTCTCCTCCATTGTGCAAGGTGTCAGATGGTTGACCAAGACCAGTGGGTGAAGATCACAGGCAAGGGAGATTTCAGCCTATTATGATAAACAGCTTTTAAATATGGAGAGGTGTCTAAATAAAGGCTAAATCAGAAGACAAAGTGTCCACCACCTGAAATTTTAATCAGAACTTAAAAAACTGCCTCAATTGTCTTTCAAAATACATGTACTGTGTACCAGTTGGCCCCAAAGTCCCTTTTAACTCTGTGACTTTGTGATTTTTATGCCTTCAAATGGAATTTCGCTAAAAATTCTGTATATCTCACCCCCTCTGCCATATACTCTGAGACAGGAAAGTGGTTCTACTGTTTGTGTACCCTATTCATGAGACATTTTTCTTTTTTTATTATTTAAGTTTATTGGTACATTTTAGGTATACATTATGGTCATTGGGAACTTGTACCTGAACATGATATATCTTGGTCCTTATTTTCTTCCCATTCCTCTTCCTGCCCTTCAACCCCTCCACCCCGCCCTGTTTACAAAAGCTTTGTTTCCATTTTATCCTTCTTTTCTCAGTTTTTTCTTTCCCTTCTTTCCTTTCCCCTGCCTCCCTTCCTAGTTCCCCTTCCCCTTTGAACATTTTCTTCTCATTTCACAATATCTATTATACATTTTGGTC